TCCACTCCTGCTCCTCCTCCTCCTCCTCCTCATCCTCCTCATCCCTCCCGCTCTTCCTCCTGCCATCCTGCCGCACTCAGGCCTCACGGAAGTCGGTCACCGGCGTATACCTCGCTGCAGCAAAGAAGAGGTACTTGGGGGGCAGGTGAAAGGCCATCGACGTGGTGGTCGCGACTGGACCACTCGTACAAATCCGCTTCCATCATGTCCCCTCCCCTCCCCCGTTCTCGTGCCCATCGCCCATTCTCTCATGCTCCCCCTCACGTTTGCCCTCCTGGCTCTGACATCAGCCCGCGTGGCGGGCTGCGTTGGACTTCCGCAGTTCCAGGCGTGTGGCCCTCCGGCCCTCTGTGGCCCTCCATGGCACTCTCCCTGCGTGGCTCTGCTCGAGTAACGGGCGCTCTCGTGGAGAGTCGATCCGATCTGAGCCACGCCTGCCTCCTCCCTCCAGATAAACGACGATCTGATTTTGTCAGTCCTGGATGTTGCTGAGTCCGGGACGAAACACCACCCCCAGGGAAGGTGTCAGGGCCACAGGGGTTGCGCAGTAAACAAAAAATGGTCCTCTGTCTGAGTCTTATTCCCAACCATCCTGTGTGAGTTGGGTCCTCGCTTTGAATCAGCAGCGCGCGCGTCTCCTCCTTCGTCTCCTCCTCATTCTCATCCTTCTACTCCCATTCCTCCTGCCTCGGCTCTCCGCGTGCCCACTTCGGAACACACACACACACACACACACACACACCTCATGCGTTTTGTGGCCCAATGCGGAGCTCCACCTGCGGTGTCAGCGGGCGCGACCGAATGGCAGCACCGCGAGCAATGCCGAACACCACTCACGCGAATCGTGGCCCGCAGGAAGCTTCACCTACGGCCTCAGTGGGCGCGACCGCATGGCGGCAACGCGCCCACTTCGGAACACCCCTCACGTGTTCCGCAGCCCCGTACGAATGGCGGCACAGCGCCCACTCCGGCTCACCCCACACGTTTCCACGGCAACACGGGGAGCTCCGCCTACGGTTTCCGTGGGCGCGCCCGCAGGGCGGCACCGCGCCTGTTTCGGCACACCCCTCGCGCGCTTCCTCACCCGCGGTCTCAGTGGCAGAACCGCCCGCGCCCGTTTCGGCACACCCATCACGAGGATGGAGCCTCTCGGCGGGCCCCGAAGAAAGGACGCTCAGCATCAAGGTTGCATGCAGCTCCTGAGGGTTGGGCCCTTCGCCAGAATGACTGTTGTCGCCCCTCCTCAAGGGGGTTCAGGGTCGAGGCGAGGCCTACCTGTACAGACACCACCCTCACCCCAATTCGGCGGCGCAGCCCTCCGTGGCTCCAAAGAGAAGGCTCGGACAGCTCATCGGAAGGCCAGAGGCCGTCTGAGCCTTCTCAGAAGCCTCGCCCCACTCTGCCTTCACCCCTCGGGGCGCCGCCGAGATCATTCGGCGGCGAGCGAGGGGGGGGCCTTCTCAGAAGGCGGCGCGGCTTCTCAGAAGCTCTCTCGCCATCGGAGAAGTTTCCTGCGTCTTCGGGGAAGGCTTCGAAAACTTCTCTGAAGGCCCGAGGCCTTCCGAGCCTTCTAAGAAGCCTCGACCCCACTGCCTTCCCCCTGGGCGCCGCCGATATCCTCCTCCCCCGAAGTGGGCAAAAGCATGAAGTAGGAAGGCGTTGAACATATATTGGCTGTCCACACGTAGCCCTTCGCCTCTTGAAATAGGAAGGCACCTTGCATATACTGGAATCTGGAAATTCAATATGTCCAGGATGTATCAGTATGCATTGGTCCAGTCGTCGACGCGCCGCATACTCATTGCAGCGTTCGACAAGTTGATGTGTCACCCGATGTTACCTCTCCAAACGCCGCATATGAAACTCATGGCTGCCAAGATAGCATCGCTTCCAGCTGGGCGTCGGCCCTGGCTCTCGGCTGAAGCGGCCCTTTCGCGTTCCCCCCCGCTGCTCTCTGCATGCCTCGCTCCAGCGCCACATCACACGAGCCAAACCAGGCCGCAGGAAGAGTTGGGGCCTCTTTGGGCCGGAGCTGCGAGCGCGCACGCGCGCGCACCCGCAACGGCACCTGCGGGAGCGTACGGCTGCGCGGCCTGTACTATGAGCAGAGGCAGCCTTCGCACGCTCGGAGCTACGTCTTGCACACTCCCTGCAGCGCGGAAGCTGCACACGAGGAGGCGCAGAGGCCTTGGAGGAGGAGAGCGACGAAGACACTCGCGCCCGTCGGCCGTCGGCAGGCGAGCCGGCTTGCTCACGCCAGTCGGTCGCGTCCTGGCCCCTGCTGGCAAACGAACTGCAAGGTCTCGAGCACTGCTCGCACGGGCCGCGGAAACGATCGCGGGGCGCCTCTTCATCGACCGTGGGCGGCGTCGTCGATGTCCAGCACCTCCTCGTCCTCCCCGGGCCGCGGGACCTCCATCTCTGGCGGCCTGTCTACGTGGACCCCCGTGGCCACCTCGATGCCGACGACGCGCAGGGGCCACGTCGCGCACGCGTCGACGCCGGGCAGCGGAGCTATCGCCTGAGCCAGAAGCGCGATCGTCCGTGGGAGGGCCAGCCGCCTCGCCAGGGCCAGCGCGTCGTGGCCGCGCGGCAGCACGGTGGCGATGAGCTCCGTGCCAGACTCGCCCGGGCCCAGCAGGACGTGCGCGCTGTGCAGGGGCACCGCGGCCACCTCCGCGGCCGCCCGCCTCACCCGGGCCTTCAGCCCTTCCGTCAGGCCCCTGTCCTCGAGCACACATTACGCAGGCATCCGCGTTCGGAGGTCCACGCGCGCGGAGCGCGCCAGGGGCAGCGACGGAAACGCCCGCGATGGGGGTGCCAGTGCCGACCCGTCCGCGCGGACCTCCGAGAAAAGATGCTTAATTCCCAACCCTCCTGCATGTTGGGTTCTCGATGTTAATATACAGCGCCGCGCGTCTCTTCCTCTCCTCCTCCCCCTCCTCCCTCACCTTCCTCATCAGCATCGTCTTCCCTCTTCGCGTTTTGACACGCCCCTCATATGTTTCGAGGCCCCATACAGCTCCGCCCCATTTTCGGCAGACCCCTCCCACGCTTGTGTCCCCATGGAGAGCTCCAATGGACTTTTCGACGAAAAGTTTTCGTGTTGGCCCCATGGGGAGCTGCACCAAAGGGCTTGGTGGCGGCGTCCGCATGCGGCCCCGCCCCATGTTCGGCAGACCCCTCACATATTTCGCTCGTGTCCCCATAAGGAGCTCCACCGAAGGCCCCCATGGCTGCGTCCGCAGATGCGGCCCCGCCCCATTTCGGCAGACCCCTCGCACGTTTCGTGGGGAGCTCCACCGAAGGCCCCAGTGGCTGCGTCCGCATGCGGCCCCGCCCCATTTCGGCAGACCCCTCGCACGTCTCATGGCCCGGGCGCGCCGCTGGATCACCCAAAGGGGGGGGGGGGGGGTTCGGAACCCCCCCCCCCCCCCCCCCTTGCCCGAGCCGTGGTCGGCGACCCCCACCCCCCCCCCCCCCCCTTGCCCGAGCCGACGTCGGCGAACCCCCCCCCCCCCCCTCCCCCCTTCCCGAGCCGTCGTCGGCGAACCCCCCCCCCCCCCCCCTTTCCCGAACCGTCGTCGGCGAACCCCCCCCCCCCCCCCCTTTCCCCGGCTCGCGCCCCGGCTCCGGAACCCCATCCCTACCACTCCCGCCCCGACCCCCCCGAACCCCTAACCTCTAACCCAAACCCTGAACCCTAATCCTTAATCCCTAACCCGAAGCCTAAACCCTAACCGTAGACCTAACCCTGACCCCAAACCCTAACACTAAGCCTAGCCCTAACCTAAGCTCTAAACCTGAACCCTTAACCCTGACCCTCAACCCTATCCCTACACCCTAACCCCAACCCTACCGCTCACCCTAAACCCTAAACCCTAACCCTAACCCTAAACCCTAACCTCAACCCCAACCCTGACCCTAAACCCTAAACCCTAGCCCTAAACTCTAAACCCTAACCCTAAACCCTAACCCTAACCCTAAACCCTAACCCCCAAAACCCTACACCCTAAACCCTGACCCTAAACCCTAACCCTAACCCTAACCCCTACACCCTAATCCTTAACCCTAACCCTAACCCTAAACTCTAGCCCTAACCCTAACCCTAAACCTTAACCGTAACCCTAAACCCTATGACCTAACCCTAAACCTTAACCCTAACCCTAAACCCTGAACCCTAAACCTTAACCCTAAAACCCGAACCCTAACCCTAAACCCTCACCCTAACCCTAAACCTTAACCCTCAACACAAACCATACCCCTAACCCTAAACCCTAACCCTAAACCCTAAACCCTAAACCCTAACCCTAACCCTAACCCTAACCCTAAACCCTAAACCCTAAACCCTAAACCCTAAACCCTAAACCCTAAACCCTAAACCCTAAACCCTAAACCCTAAACCCTAAACCCTAAACCCTAAACCCTAAACCCTAAACCCTAAACCCTAAACCCTAAACCCTAAACCCTAAACCCTAAACCCTAAACCCTAAACCCTAAACCCTAAACCCTAAACCCTAAACCCTAAACCCTAAACCCTAAACCCTAAACCCTAAACCCTAAACCCTAAACCCTAAACCCTAAACCCTAAACCCTAAACCCTAAACCCTAAACCCTAAACCCTAAACCCTAAACCCTAAACCCTAAACCCTAAACCCTAAACCCTAAACCCTAAACCCTAAACCCTAAACCCTAAACCCTAAACCCTGAACCCTAAACCCTAAACCCTAAACCCTAAACCTTAAACCCTAAACCCTAAACCCTAAACCCTAAACCCTAAACCCTAAACCCTAAACAATAAACCCTAAACCCTAAGCCCTAACCCCTAACCCTAACCCTAAACCCTAAACCCTAAACCTCGCTCGCCTCGCGCGCAGACTGTTGGACGTAGGGGCCGTCGGGGGCGGGACTCTGAAAGCTTTGCGGGTGTGCGGGCGGGCCCTTCGACCCTAAACCCTAAACCCTAAACCTCGCTCGCCTCGCGCGTAGACTGTTGGACGTAGGGGCCGTCGGGGGCGGGACTCTGAAAGCTTTGCGGGTGTGCGGGCGGCCCTTCGGGCCCGCCCGCACACCCGCAAAGCTTTCAGAGTCCTGCCCCCGACGGCCCCTACGTCCAACAGTCCGCGCGCTCGGCTCGCTCGCACCGGACCCCTGCGGAAAGGGGGGGAGGGGGGGGGGGGGTTCCGACCCCCCCCCCCCCCTTCAAGGGGGGGGGGGGGGGAGGGGTTTCCGAACCCCCCCCCCTTTCCAAGGGGGGGGGGGGAGGGGTCGAACCCCCCCCCCCCCTTAAGGGGGGGAGGGGGGGGGGGGTTCTCGGCCCCCCCCCCCCTTAAGGGGGGAGGGGGGGGGGGGGGGTTCCCTGGAGCACACCCCCCCTTTTGTGTCTTCAAGGTGATCCACTGGCGCTCTTTCCATATGGAGCACAACTGAAGGCCCCAGTGGCTGCGTCCCGTTCTAGCAGCCCCTCGTTCAAGAAGGTTGGTTTCTACGCCTGGCTGATGAATTGTGGCTCGATTGGCACGTCCGAGATGAGCACAGAGGAAAAATGGGCACGATACACAGCAACAGATGTTGTCCCAATCCGGCAGCAGCCGCTGTTGGGCAGGTGACTTGTTATCTCAAGTGACACAGTCCGTGGCGGCACCGACAGCGAGTCCTGCTCAAGATGGACGAAATGTGCTGCCGTTCTTTGTCCTCATTCTCGCTGCAATCACTAATACCCATTTCGATCCTACCGAGTCGAATCCTGGCTCAGCCTGCCGTAGTCCAGACCTGGCAGGGTCATCGAGAGCTCCACGGCGTCCCTCCGAAAAGACACCTGGTACGGCTTGGACCCCGCCTGTCGGGCCGTCAGCGCGGCATTGACGCTGTCTCCGTCAACCGCCCTGCCATCGATGCCGTTGACGTACCACCCGGGCTGCACGCCGAGGTCAAAGCCCTGCCTGCCTTCGACCACTCTGTACACCAGGCCAGTCTCTGGGTCGTAGATGATCCCGTGCCTCCCAGGCGCCAGGGACAGGGTGACCGCGCTTGGGTCATCCTCTGCCTGCTCCTCGAGCTCACCGTCCCCGCCGCCGCCGCCCACCGAAGCCGCTGGGACACCGCCAGCAGTGACGAAAGCCGAGTCGTCCTGCCGCCGTGCCTGAGCAGCCGCGGGCGGCGCCACCTCGGGCGCCTCCGCGGGAGGGAACATCGGCGCCAGGGCAGGCGCCGCCTGCTCGGGCATCGGCTCCGCCGCCGCCACCTCCGTCAGCGCAGGCACCGTCGGGGCCAGCACGGGCGCGGCCCCGAGATGCGCCGCCAGGGCTGGCACCGTGGGCGCCGGGACGGGCACCGCCCCCGAGCTGGACGCCGGCGGAGCCACCTCCGCCAGCGCCGGCACCGTCGGCGCCAGGGCGGGCGCCGCCACGTCCCGGGAGGGCCGCGGCGGGGCCGGCGGCAAGCGCGGGGCCTCCTTCTGCGCAGACTTCAGCAGGGCCCTGTGCGCCACCTCCCAGCGCCTCTCCTCGGCGGCGAGCAGGGCTCTCTCCTCGTCTGCATGGAGGCCCCGAAACGGGCATTGAAAGACATGGCCACGATGCCCAACAGCGGTGAGCGAGCGAGCGTCCATCCGGCTCTACGGCGAGTAGAGCCGCGCCCACGTGGGCGGGACGGGAAAGAGCCGTAGCCCTTCAGGAAAATGTGAATGGCCTCATGTCGTGGTCAAAAAACTGGTCCTCCACATTCCGCCATCCTGCATTTCTGATTGCCATGCGTGACCACATTACGTATGCCACTGATGCATAACAGCGGACGCTGTCCGAAACCGACAGCGGCCGCTGCTGGGCAGTCGATCTCTTGTCCAAAGTGGACCACTCGTCACCACTCTTTCGGCACTCTGGGCAACGATCGGGGGGACCAGCCCAGGGGGGGGAGGGGCGAAGCATCGACCTGCAATCAGCGATACATCGCTGCTGGGCGGGGCTGGCTACATCAGGCCCCTAGCGGCGATCATGTGCGATTGGGGTGTATCCTCCTGAGCCTGTCCCCCCTTAACGTCGCCCCGTGGCTATCAGGTCATATCTCGGCTCTCTGGCAGCCGTTTAGGAACTTCCGAGCACCCCCAGAACGCTCTCAGCGAGGCGCAGCTGCTGGAGAGCATCCCGAGGCTGAGAAACCACCGAGAAGCGGCGAAAACATCCAGAAACCTCAGGCTAGGAAGGCCCGCAACGTTCCTCCCATTGAGCCCGTCCCGTCCCAACGCTGACCCTGACTTCACGGTCGTACCGATCCTCGTCCAGCCGCTGGCGCACCGCGCTGTCGTGCCGCTCGGCCTCGCCGGCGAGCTGAGCGTGCTGCGCCGGCAGCCAGCCGTACCCGTCCTTGGGAGGCCAGCAGACCAGCACCGACACCGTCTGCCAGAAGAGCTACGAGAAGGGGGACACGCAGAACAGCTACCCGTACCGCTACTCCACGAACCATTCCTGGGGTGCGTTCTGCCAAGGAACTCGAGGCAAATCCAGCCGTGGCGGCGAGGGAGGGGCAGCGGTATCGCAACAGTTCCTCCTCTGGGAGAAGCTCCTGTGGGCGCCCCAGTCGCGCGCCGCCACAGCAGCTCAGATCCCTCCTCCTCCTCCTTCTCCTCCTCCTCCTTCTCCTTCGCCTCCTGAGGGAGAACGGTAGCGAGGGACCTGATTAGGGGGAAGCACCGAGGTTGAATCGGCGATACATGGCCTATAGATCGGCAAGATGTCGTTACAGCATATCCGAACGTTCCTGGGCGGTGTGGGCTATATCAGGCACCTATCTGCGATCAATGAGCGATTGGGGGTCGATGCATCCCCCAAGAGCCTGTCCCTACCAATGGTTGCCCCTCATCTCCTCCTCCTCCTCCTCTTCATCTTCCTCCTCCTCAGGGCTGGACCTAAACGTTGTTTTTCGTTTCGGTTTCGTTTTGTTGTTCGTTTTGCTCGTTTCCCGTACCATCCCGGTCAAAACGAAGAACCAAACACAGCATAAGTCCAGCAAAGCAACATTTAGGTCCAGCCCTGTCCTCCTCCTCCCCATCCTCCTCCTCCCAATCCTCCACTTCTTTTCCTTATCCGCCAGCCCCCTTGTGGGGCCAGCAGGCTGTAGGCCTAAGGATGGCAGTTTCCTGTACCAGTTGCAGCTTCCAATTTCCACTGTTACACATCTGCTTCTTTGCAGCTTCCAGTTTCCACTGTTACAGTTATGCTTTTTGCTGCTTACTGTTCCTTGTTGATGGACCGCGCGAGGGGGGGGAGGCCCAAAACGCGCATTTTTACCACGCCCTGAGCGTGTTGTCTGAATTGCTGGGGTGAGTAAAAATGTACACCCCTCACGCAGATCGGCGGGGTCAGGGTCCAAAAAAACATGGGATTTGCCAGATTCCTAACATGCGGTTGCACCCCTCACGCATATCGGCGGGGTCAGGGTCGCAAAACACAATGGGTTTGCCACATTCCTAAAATGCGGTGGCACCCCTCACGCAGATCGGCGGGGTTAGGGTCCAACAACAAATGGGATTTGCCACATTTCTAAAATTCAATGGCACCCCTCACGCAAATCGGCGGGGTCAGGGTCCAAACACATATGGGATTTGCAACGTGTCAAAAAATTTGCTGGCACCCCATCACGCAGATCGGCGGGGTCAGGGTCCACAAACACAAGGGATTTACCACATGTCAGAGATTCGGTGGCACCCCTCATGCAGATCGGCGGGGTCAGGGTCCAAAAACACAAGGGATTTACCACATGTCTGACATTCGGTGGCACCCCTCACGCAGATCGGTGGGGTCAGGGTCCAAAAGCATATGGGGTGCGCAACATTTCTGACATTCGGTGACACCCCTCACGCACATCGGCGGGGTCAGGGTCCAAAACACACATGGGATTTGCAACATTTCTGAAATTCGGTGGCACCCCTCACGCAGATCGGCGGGGTGAGGGTCGAAAGACAAACAGGTCCCGACACTGCTTCACGGCGGCGCCCAGAGCTTATGATTTAGCTTTTGCATCTCCCAGTATCCGAGACAGGGGGCTGGCGGCACGGGGCGAAGCTCTTACGGATAAATAACTCCTCCCTGTCGCACCCCAAAGCCGTTCGAAAAGGCGGGCTGGGCGTTTCACGTGATACTTCCTCACCATGTATGGTCCTAACAGTTTCACATATGGAGGGTGGGTCGCTTCCAAAAAATGGCTCCAGCCTCAGCGCCGCGCACACTCGCAGTAAAGGTTCGCTGGAGCTTCAAGAATTGAGGGCGGCTCGGTTTCCAAATGTGGCGCTCGCCTTCGCGCCGCGTACTCGTTTTCAAAGTTGCAAGAGCACCAAACATTGAGGGCGCGTGGTTTCAATACGTCGCCCCCGCTTAAAAAATGCGATCACTCTTCTTAAACGTGTGCAAGAATTTCACGGGTTGAAAGAAGGTCGTGTTGAACATGTGGCTCTCGCTCGAGCGCCACACAAGTTCGCCTCAAATATGGCCCAAGAGCTTCAAATATTGAGGGCGTGTCGTTTTCGAAATGTGGCTCTCGCCTTTGAACATTGCAAGAGCTTCAAGGATCGAGGGCTGTCGCCTTAGCGCCGCGCACATTCGTCTTACAAGATTATAAGGGTGCCACGAACTCGCGTAGTCAAGGTGCCAGGAACGGCGTTCTGGAACGATTCTGGTTTGCTACGGCGCAACAATTCCGTTGATGAGCGGTGATGAAGTTTTTTTGTTCTGCAAGGTTACCTTACGGTGTCTCAAGAAGTCTATACATTGATACATATCCTGCATAGATCAGCTGGCTATACAATTGCGTCACATGCGTGCGAATCCTATGCATTTACCCTCACGCGTGCATGCACTAGAGACGGCAAGAGGGTGGGCGTGGCCTCTCCGTCGAGCTTCGCGTCTCGCCTCGCGATCGGCGAGGTCGAGTGCTGACACAGTCTCTGGCGGGAGGGGAGGAGGAACAGTACGCATCAGTTGCGCCCAACAGCGCTGGCGTCGGCTGTCTGATAAATGTGCTATGCATCGCAATCTCTGCTTAATTCTGTTTTGCATACAGGACGAATACCACGCTCATCAACGTACAGACGTGCGGGGCACCTGAGCATGTGTTTCGTACGCTGGTGCATCTTCAACGCCCTGCTTGCGAGAAAGGCAGGGCGATTCGGACAGATGCCACAAACAAACGGGAGCGCAGTCTCACCAAGGGGGGGCTGCCCCTGCGTTGTTGACGACGGCGATACAGCTGACGCATCACAAACAGATGTGTGAAAAAAATACGCTGCACTCGTTCCCTCCAGGACGCAATGTCCTGCAAAATAACCTCGTGCCACACACTCGAATACAGGATGGGATCAGGGAGCAGGGAGAAGGCGGGAACGCGTCTCCATACCAGGCTCAGGTCATCCTGAAGCTGCTTGACCCAGTCAAGGGCCTTCTCGTTATGACGGAACTGTAGGACAGCCTGGAGCGGGCCTGGTGCAAAGTGAACTAGACGACCGAAATACAGCAACCGTTTTCGCAGCAGCAGGCAGTCGAGGGAAGGTCGGCCTAACTGCTCACGGATGCGAACGTCTGAAAACTTCGCCTCGCCAAAATTGGGATCGCCCGCAATGCGTCGAAGGATGCGAATGTGTGGGCCGTTGAGCGCGCGAATGTACTCAGGCGTGCAATACATGATGTGGCGATTGAACAACAACCTGCCATGTATGAAGTAACACAAGTCCGCCGGCCCCCTTGCGGGGCCACCTGGCTGCAGGCCGGGAATGTGCTGCTCCCTGTGCCAGTTGCAGCTCCCAGTTTCCACTGTTACAGTTCTGCTTCTTGCTGCTTACTGTTCCTTGTTGATGAGCGCGCGAGGACGGGGGAGCCCAAACCAGCAGAACTACCACGCCCTGGGAGGGTTCTCAGAATTTCTGGGGGGGTAAAAATTGACACCATCACGGAGATCCGCAGAGTGAGGGTCCAAAAACACAAGGGAATTGCAACATGCTTTAACTTCAGTGGCACCCCTCACGCAGATCGGCGGGGTCAGGGTCCAAAAACACATGGGATTTGCCACATTCAAAAACAACGGTGGAACCCCTCACTCAGATCGGCGGTTTCAGGGTCCAAAAGTAAATGGGATGTGCCACATGTTTTAAATTCGGCAACACCCCTCACGCAGATCGGCGGTGTCAGGGTCCAAAAACACATGGGGGGATGTGCCATATTCCTAGAATTCGGTGGCAACCCTCACGCAGATCGGCGGGGTCAGGGTCCAAAAGCACAAGGGATTTGCCACATGTCTGAAATTCTGTACCACCGCTCACGCAGATCGGCGGGGTCAGGGTCCAATAACAGATGGTATTTGCCACATTCCTGAAAATTGGGGGCACCCCTCACGCAGATCGGCGGGGTCAGGGTTGAAACATAAACAGGTCCCGACACTGCTTCAGGGCGGCCCCCAGAGCTCATGATTTAGCTTTCGCATCTCCCATTATCCGAGACAGGGGGCCCGCGGCATGGGGCGAAACTCTTACGGAGAATGTTCTGTCACGGTTCAGGATCGACACGCCGCAACAGTCAGGCTGATGCGCGGCGTTGGGGTCCCGCGAATGGTGTTGTGGCATGCTTCAGGGTCTTCAAACGGTTGTCTCCCAATGGGGCACTTCCCGGTGGAAATGAATCCTCGTAGGGGCTTATGAAGAGAGAGCTTGCAGGAACGGATTATTCCAACATCGTCAAAGAACCTTGGGCTTACACTGGTTTTCCTCCTCCTCCTGCTTTGTGATTTCCCTTGTAAACAACTCCTCCATGTCGCACCCCTGGGCTGGTCGAAAAGGCGGGCCGGGCGTTTCGCCTGGGACTTCCGCACCACGCATGACCCTGAAGCTTAAAACTCGGCAACAGCTTCACGGATGGAAAGCGGGAAGCTTTCAAAATGTGGCTCTCGCCCTAGCGCCGCGTACATTCGTTTGAAACCTTTGCAAGAGCTTCACGATTTGAGGGCGGGCGGTTTTGAAAATCAGGCTCACGCCTTAGCGCCGCATACAATCGTCTTTAAACAAAGGCAAGAGTTTCGCGGATTGAGGGCGGTTCGCTTTCAAAATGTGGCTCTCGCCTTAGCGCCGCGCTTACTCGTTATCAAGCATTTGCGAGAGTGTCACAGATTCCCATGGTCAAAGTACCAAAAATAACGACCTGGAAGCAGGCTTGTGAGGGTGCAACAGTTACGTTGATTCGTTGTGTTAGAATCGCAGGAATGGCGTTCTGGCACGGTTCTGGATCGTTAAGATGCAACAGTCAGATTGATCCGCGAAGTTAGAGTCCCGAGAATGGTGTTTGGGCATGCTTCAGGGTCTTCCAACGGTTCTCCCAACGAGGCAGATCCCTCCGTGGAAATGAACCCTTGTAGGGGCCTGTGTAAGGGAAAGGGGGAGCTTGGAGAGAGGGTTTATTCCAATATCGTTGATGAGCCCTGGGTTTACACTGGTCCTCCTCCTCCTCCTCCTCCTTGTCCTCCTCTTCCTCCTCCTCCTCCTCCTTGTCCTCCTCCTCATCCTCCTCCTCATCCTCCCTCCCTCCCTCCCTCCCTCCCTCCCCTTCCTCCCTCCCCCTCCTCCTCCCTCTCCTCTCTCAGTCCCCTTCCAATGTTTGTTGCCCCTTGGCCCTCCACGGCAAGATGCCCGACCCGCATCATTTTTACTTAAGAAGCTGTCCGGCTCCTCCCTCCGCTCACTTGTCTTCTGCGCTGGTTACCCGAGCGATGCCAGTCGCTGGGCAAGGCTTCAGGGGCGCCTCGCACTCCCCTGGACCCTCCTGGGGAGGCTCCCATGGATAGGCCCCTGGCCCCCGTCAGCCCCACGCGAACGCAGAACAGGCTGGGAGTAGCATCTCGCACGCGGCGCTGGATATCCGTGCGATGCCAATCGCAGCAGCTCCTCCCTCCTCCCTCACTTGTTCGACTGGCGCAGCTTGCAAACCCACGATGCCCCACACGTCGCATCGGAAGTACACGGCTTGTAATGGGGACTCTTCCCCCTCCCAGACTGACTGAAGGGGAACTGGGACACACAAATAAATACACACAAATCAAAATATCCTCCATATTTTATCATATTTTCTGGGTTTTTGTCTTCCCCCCCACTTCCCATATTTTCCAATACTTTCTTGGAATCGCCGATTAATTGTGTCTGTGTTTTTTCCCCTCCTGACTGACGTCCCTCCCCTAGAAGGTTGGGCCGCCGCCCAGCGGCCGAGCCATTCTGGCCCTCTCTCTTCTCCTCCACCTCACTGCCCGCCCCAATCTTAAAGGGAACTTAGGACACACAAATAAAGACACACAAATAAAAATAGTCCCCCATATTGTCCCAGATGTTCTGGGTTTCTGTCTTCCCCCCCACTGCCCATATTTTCCCATATTTTCTGGGGGATCGACGATTAATTGTGTCTGTGTGTTTCTTTTCCTCCTGAACCTCATTGCCCGCCCAATCTGGCGGCCACTCCCAGCCAGATCTCCCTTGTTCTGGCTTAGAACGTCCCTGGGCGTGTTTGCTGCTCGCTCTATGGCCAGTGCGCAAATGGCCAGTTTGCGTGTTGGACCAGCTTTTCACAAAAGCGTTTCTTACTCACTCGAACATGCATCGCCGATACCTTCTGGTGGGAGGATTGGCCGTGCCAGGGGCGCTAGACGCTCGCACGATTTGGTAATTGGGGCTTTAGGCCCGCCTGTGCGCACCTGGCGCCTCTGTTACGTCAAGCCGCGGCACACGACGAACTCCCGTCAAACAGCCCTCTCCTCCTCCCCCCGAGGGCTCGGTGTGCAGGGTGTGTCTGCTGGCCCCCGGACGTCCTGGCCCTTGCCGACACGCCGGCCCGCGGCGGTCGTCGTCGGCGGAGCCCTCGGCGCAGGGGGCCCGCCTAGCCGCCACCTCCCGGCCCGCTGGGGCGCCTGCGCCTGCAAGGCCGGTCAGCATCGGAACGGGAGATCTCGGCATGTGTGTCTTCGCTCTCTTTTGCTTCTCGAGGGCGTCCAAAGAGGCGGGCGTCCGAAAGGTTGGGGTCCCGAATCCTGGCCCGAACCATGTGCGCGGACAAAGGGGCTGGCCAAGAAAATGCAACGGAAGAAGAAGAATAAAATAATAACCAAAAAGAAGAGTATGATGAAGAGGGGGCGATGAAATCTGAGAGACTTCGTGGCCCTGGCCATGATATCCACACACACACACACACATGGTGAGCATGTTTTCCACCACCACCACCGTAAGTTGGAGGGAGGAGGAGGAGGAGGAGGAGGAGGAGGAGGAGGCGGACCCCCCCTCTCCAACTCATGGTGGTGGTGGTGGAAAACACGCCCATCAACACAATCATCGCCCCCCTCTTGGACGCCCGAGCCTCTGGGGGCCCACGCTGGCCACGGCAGAGCCACAACTCGACCCTGGATGAAAAGCCAGCCCTCGGGAACCGGTCGAGACGTCTGGGGGCACCACGCACTGAGGGAAATGAAAAGCGGATCTGTGGGGGCGTACGCGTTCCAACGTTTTCTACGGTTTTCGGAAGTTCCCTGAGAGGTGTTCCGTGCATCGGGACGCATTTCAAGCGGCTGCGCCTCGTTGAGGGAGCGCCCTCGGGGTACCGAAATCGTCCCGAACAGACGCCAGAGACCCGGGTTCTGGTCCGGAAAGTTCGCATCTGGCATCAGCCGTTTTCTTCCTCCTCCTCCTCTTCCTTCTCCTCCTCCTGCTGCTCCTCCTCCTGATGTTGCTGCTCATCCTCCCACTATCCTCCCTCCTCCTCTTCCTCCTCGTCCTCCTCTTCCTCCTCGTCCTCCTCTTCCTCCTCCTGCTGTTTCTCCATGTTCTTGATCCTCCCTCTTACTCCTCCCCCTCCTCCCCTCATCCACTCTCCTCCTCCTCCATCATCCTGCTACTCGGATCGGAAAATTTTGGGGGTGCCGCGTCGAGACGGCCCTCCTTGGCGCTTCTCGTCCCCATGTAAGCCTCCCTGGAGGCTGGAGGCTGGACCCAACTCGAGAAGAGCCACTGTGGACCCCGGAGGGTCCAGGGACCGATGTTGAACGGATCCGGGCCAGGCTGGAGAGCCGCCGTTATCTCAACTTGCCCTCCTCCAGAAACCGGATCAACTCGGAACGCGCGTGGCAACGGCTTGGCCTGGACGTCCACATTCTTGGCGTGTGTCCTGTACTGCTGCCCTGATCTAGGTCCTCCTCCTCCTCCTCCTCCTCCTCCTCATCATCATCATCATCATCATCATCATCATCATCATCATCATCATCATCAGCATCAGCATCAGCATCAGCATCAGCATCAGCATCAGCATCAGCATCAGCATCAGCATCAGCATCAGCATCAGCATCAGCATCAGCATCATCATCATCATCATCATCATCAGCAGCATCATCATCAGCATCATCATCAGCAGCAGCAGCATCATCAGCATCATCATCATCACCACCATAACCACCACCACTACCATCATAATCATCATCATCAGCATCATCAGCATCAGCATCAGCATCAGCATCAGCATCAGCATCATCATCATCATCATCATCATCATCATCATCATCATCGTCATCAGCATCAGCATCATCAGCATCATCATACTATTCCTCCCCCTCCTCCTCCTCCTCCTCCTCCTTTCAGAGTTGGTTGGACATCACTCCACGTACGTATATTGAAGCATCACCTCTTCCATATCTTCTGCCTCCTCCTCGTCCTACTCCTCCTCATCCTCCTCTTCTCCTCCTCCTCCTCCTGCTCCTCCTCCTTCCTCTCCACCTTCGGGAGGGAAGAGGAGAGGGGAGGAGAACACCACCAATACGTCTGCGCGCGCCGAGAATGGGAAATAGACGGGCAAAGACAATTGGATGAGAAAAGATCGCGCAGCTCTTCGAGAAACAAAAGCCAGTCGAAACGCACGAGGAGACCAATGCGATCGGCGAGGCACAACGTAGGGCGGCGAGCGCCACCGAACGGCTAGTGCAAGCGCGGACCACGGCACGGCAGGATTCGATGCACGAGGATGCACGGGCACGAAGAGAGGAGGAGGAAGCAGCAGGCAGCAGGAGGAGAGAGGGAGAGAGGAGCAGAAGGAGCCTTCGCTGCCGGCGCCACAAGCCCCGCCCACGGCATGGTGGTGGGCGCCAGTGCAGCCGCGCTGTCCGCCCGCGGGACGGAGCCCGCCTTCCCCAGGGATGCCGGCTGCCCGCGGCCACCGCCCTCGCTGGGTGCCTGCGAGGGCTCACAGACATCCCAGCGCCTACCCCTGTTCCTCTCCTCCTCCTCCTCCTCCTCCTCCTCCTCCTCCTCCTCCTGCTCCTCCTCCTTCTCCTTCTCCTTCTCCTCCTCTGCCTCCTCCTCCCTCCCTCCTCCTCCTCCTCCTCCTCCTCCTCCTCAATAATCATATCATTCCTCATATCATCATACGTCCATAATCATCATCATCATCATCACATCATCATCATCATCATCATCATCATCATCATCATCATTCATCATCAGCATCAGCATCATGTCATCACATCAGCATCAGCAACCAGCAATCAGTCATCCATCATCATCATCATCATCATCATCATAATCATCATCATCATCATCACCATCATCATCATCATCATCATCGTCGTCATCATCATCATCGTCATCATCAGCATCGTCATCATCGTCATCACCATCATCAGCATCATCATCATCAGCATCACAATCAGCAGCATAGGCATCATCATCAGCACCATCAGCACCATAATCATTAATCACCATCATCATAGCATCAGCATCATCATCATCAGCATCATCATCATCAGCATTATCATCATCATCATCAGTAGCAGCATAATCATCATCAGCATCATCACCATCACCATCACCATCACCATCACCATTACCATCACCACCAGCATCATCATCATCATCATCATCATCATCATCATCATCAGCAGCAGCAGGTTCTTTTCGGTGGCTCCGTCGTTTGTGGACCATGGCCGGGAATATCCACCGCTTAGCATGAAGGAAGCGGGTCCTGAGGAAAACGAGTCCTGGACCCCTTGCCCGTCCCCTTGGCGTTTCCTGACAGCCCTGGGGCCCGTTGAGGGCGAAACAAACTCAGGCCCATTTCCAGGATCCGTTTCCATCGTGGCGACCCCTCCCCCCTCCCCCACCTTAAGCCAGCCGAAGTCCTGAGTCCCCCGCTGCTCGGCGGCTCGGCTCGGCTCGGACGCGGCGCTGCGGCCCGTTCCAGCCGAGGCCAGGGCCTGCCCCAGGGGCAGCAGGGAGTCCACCATGGCCTGTGACGGGAGGGGATTTGCCTACATGCCACGCCGATGTGTTGTTTCAGTTCCAGCGTTTTTCCTCGATTCTGCACCCCTCATCAAGCCCGCCTCGGCAGGCCCTGCATTTGTGGCCCTGGGCTGGGGAGATTTCCCCCTCCCCCTCCCCCTCCTCCTCCTCCTCCTCCTCCTCCTCCTCCTCCGCCGCCGCCGCCGCCTCCTCCTCCTCCTCCTCTTCCTCCTCCGCCTCCTCCTCCTCCTCTTCCTTCTCCTCCTCCTTCTCCTCCTACTCCTCCCCCTCCTCCTCCTTCTCCTCCTCCTCCTCCGCCTCCTCCGCCTCCTCCTCCTCCTCCTCCTCTTCATCATCATCATCAGCCTCCTCCTCCTCCTCCTCCTCCTCCTCCTCCTCCTCATCCTCCTCCTCCTCCTCCTCCTCCTATTGGCTCCTTTTGGCTCTAGTGGCTGTCGGGGAAACCGCTGGAGCGATAAGGCAGCCCCCTCCTCCTCCACTCCTCCTCCTCCCCTCCCTCCACCTCCTCCTCCCTCCCCCCTCCTCCCTCCCTCCTCCTTCATCCTTTTCTTCCTTCCTCCTCCTCCTCCTCCTCCTCCTCCCCTCCTCCTCCTCCTCCTCCTCCTCCTCCTCTTCCCCCTTCTCATCCTCCTCCTCCTTCTCCTCGTCCTCCTCCTCTTCCTCCTCCTCCTCCTCCTCCTTAAGCTCGCATATTCGAGGATGTGTTCTTTTTAGCCTCAACTGTTCTCCTTGATTTCGGCCTCCTGAGGCCCGTTATCGGCAACGGAGCCATCACGAATGAATCCGGTGCGAAACGGCCGCGCTGTGAACAAAAAACAAGCATTGTCGGGTCTGGGGAAGGGATACGCTGAACAAGTCCAAAGAGGAAGGGGTGATCTGAGAGCTGTGTCACGGGCTGTCCTTGACCATGGGGATCTCATGCAAGGCTGGTTCAGGAGGCAACTCCTTGGAAGTCTTCTTCGGAAGGGCTACTCAACCCGAGCACGGGGCCACAAGCCGGACTAGTCCAAAATCAAGCACAAGGCGAGGCCCGATCAGGCCATATTGAGCGATATCAAAAAGAACCAAGCGGGATCAAACGGGATAAGGCTGGTTTTCGAGGAATCGCGACCGAGCATGGATGCACCCCACACGTCGTGACTGCTGTTCGCAGCCCAGGCCCCCGAAAATCAGCAGAAGCCTGGACATCCTTCTCTGAGAACGGCTTCCCATCCCGGGCCGTTTCTTGTCAGTCCCCAGGACCCGTGCAAAGCCTGCGCGAGGCCGAAGCCAAAAACCTTCCGTCGTGACTCTTTGTCGCAACGCGAGGATGTCGGGCACCTGCCTCGTTCGATCGTTCCGATTCGGGGCAATCGCCCCCCCTGAGCCTGGCCGTAGCAGGGCTCGTAGCACATCCACCTGACGGCGCACTGAAGAGGGGAGCCAGGAAGAGGCGAGGGTGCGCATCATGGCACGAGGCGTGTTCCCGGACGAGGGGAGGCCAGGGAACGCGTTGCTGCTGCTGCCGAAGAAGAAGAAGAGGAAGAAGAAGAGGAAGAAGGAGAAGAAGACGAAGAAGAAGAAGAAGAAAAGAAGAAGAAGAAGAGGAAGAAGAAGAAGAAGAAGATGGGGACCCCCAGATCTGGGACACGTCAGGGCCCTGGCCATGGTATCGCCCCCCTCTTGGACGCCCCCGAGACGAGCAGAGACGCCTCCTCCAGCAGCCACCGCCGGGCCTCTGCGAGGCGCGCTGTGGCACCACGGGAGCCGTCGCCGATGGATCGGCGGCAGGCCTCCGATAGCGAATCCGCACGCTCCTGGGCGCGGGTGGGCTGTCGGGCCCCCATCGGAGATGAGGGGGCGATTGGCAGTCCAGGCATCCCCCTCGGAGCCTATACTCTCCTAGCGCCTAGCGTTACCCCTGGTTCTCTCTCCCGGCAGCCAGTCGCAGGTCTTGCACTCGAAGATGCGCTCGCCCTGCTTGACCTCGCGGTGACACTTGTCGCAGTAGCCGGAGTCGCAGGCAAGCTGTCCCTTCAGCTCGTGCCCCTCTGGGCACCAGTCCTGCGAGAGGACGAGAAGAGAGGGAGGAGCGAGGCGGAGGGATGCGGACGGAAGAGGAAGAGGGGGAGGAGGGGGGAAGTGGGGACCAAACGTGGCAGTTCGACTGCAAAATTGAAGATAGCGCGCGCACCACCTGGCGACGTTACCGATCCGACCCCTGGATACAACAACGACGAAATAGCTCGGAAACATGGCCGCCGAAGCATGCGAGCAGTCACGAGATCGAAATCTCAAAATCCGAAGCTGATTAAAGGTTGACCAGCGAAGCCGTAAAAGCTCGCTCGACCCCAGTTCCGAAGCGACGGATCAACACAAGGTCTATGCCTGAAGAGAGCAGATCCCAAGCAAACGGCAGATTTCAATTGCTGTGAATAGTCCGCGCCTGACAAGTTAAGTTGCTTACGTTGGGTGCCTGCCAGCGTGGACTGAAAAACAACATATCCGAAACAGGTGTATGCCTGGAGCGAGCAGATCTCAAGCAGGCAACCGACACGCTGAGTTGCGTATATCTAGGTCATGGTAAGCGTGGACCACAAACAGTGTGTTCTCGTACCCGCGAGTTGAAATCTACGTGGCGGAATCTACGTGGCACAATCCCATCGATGCAATCCATGTTGTGGAAGACACGAGGTGCAAGCTGTGGGGCGCAATGTATGCGGAGCAAGATGTGCTGCAAGAGATGTACTGAACCCGCTAGCGAGCGGAAGATGGTGGTGACTATGGCATCGGAGCCAACGACAATGATGATGGTGATGGTGGCGGCGATGATGAAGAGGGCCACGACGAAGACGATGGAGACGCGAATAATGATAATGACGACGGTGGCGATGCATACCTCACAATGCTTAGAACACCAAGAAATTGTTGCAACGAGTTTGGTATGTGCACGAGTAGCCACGCGCGTGGACCCGCACCCGCGTAGTGATACATCAATGACTTCGGAATGCGCGAGCAAGTAGCCACATGGTCGTATCTGACAGATGTGAAGAAAGCACTACGTTCAGCAAACATGAAGCGAGTAGGCACAAACATAAATCTGGAATTGCCGTTGGAAATAAATGAGTGAGGAAAGCGGTTTGAAACGTGATCTGAAATGGTGTTGGAAGGATGCGCGTGCGTGGCCGGAGTTGAACAATTTAGCGAGGGCTCGTTGACCATGCACCAGTTAGATAAAACTGATACAACACAGTACCATGTGATAGATTCCTCAGCACGATTTTGGATAAGAAACAGGATGAGGCGAGAGGGAGTCAACGCAAACACCAGACCACTGTCCACCACGAGGAGCTTGCAAGCACTCCTGCCTCGGGATCGTGTTTGCCCTGACGCCCTGAAATATTACCACAAAAACTAAACTGGAGAATCGGCTCCCATTTGGCATGGATGAAGGATGAAGGGGGGGCGTCAACGGGGACTGGCTGGGATGGCACGCGTGTGGAGAAATATAGCGGGAATTAGAATAAACAAACAAACGAGGGGGATTATCGAGTCGGCCTCGGCGTGAGGGAAGCAGCTAATTGTGTACCCCACCCTTTTGCGATCCCCCTGTTCGTCCGAACCGAAGGAGGGCAGCGGGGGGCAAATTAGCCTTGCGAAGGACCCAATCCATATGCAGTTGTGAGTACCGCAATTGTGAATATCCTCTTTGGTGGCGATGTCCAGAGTGGGCCACGAACCCTGTGAGGGGTGTGCCGAAATGGCTGCGACGGACGCATGTGGACAGTGGCACTGGGGCCTTCGGTGGAAACCCTATGGGGCCACGAAACGTGTGAGAGGTGTGCCGAAATGGGTGTGGGGGACGCATGTGGACGGTGGCACTGGGGCCTTCGGTGGAGCTCCCTATGGGGCCACGAAACGTGCGAGGGATGTGCCGACATGGGCGTGGGAACGCATGTGGACGAATTCTATTGCAAATGTATTGCGCCAGGGAATTGGATTGCATTCTACTGTAACTAATATGTTGCATGCGAAAATCCAGCAATACATCTGCGCAACGGAATGCATTGCACACCCCAAATCTATTGCAGCCCCCCGAATCCACTGCGGTCCTAGGGGAGGCAAGAAATTGTCAAACAATCCCCCTTTGTTCTGTTTGCACGGCGCAGGGGGATCATGTAGTTAGATCCACAACAAGAGATCCGATCCCAGGATTCGCCTCCTACCCCAAACGAACGTCGGCATGGCACTCGGACATCCATACAAAGCAACGAGCCAGGAGCTGGAAGGCCAGACACTTCAAAACGGCCTTGTCGGGGCTCGGGTCAGGGAGGGGACGCTCCCTTCCGAAGAAAGACCGCTGAGCACATGCATCATGATTGGCCAGGCCCCTCCTGGGCGGCCCAGGCTCGGTGCACTCCCCCTGGCACGTGCTCCGATCCTGGGCCCAGGATGGGTCAGGCCAGGATCGGTGCGCGTGCATGTCAGGTCGGACGAAATAGGGAGCCCACAAAGGACGTACGCGCCCAGCTATGTACATGAACACGGCCCCTCGATCCGCGAGACGGGCCGCGTTATACGAACATTTGCGCAATGCGTACTCTGGAAACCAGCGTGGATTCATGTACATGTACGTCCTTCTTTCGCTCCTGACGAAAGGGGGAAACTTGCGCAGTGCACGGGGGGGGGGTCGCGAACCAGCTCACGCGGCCGGCTTCCCCAGCGGCCCCGGGCGCCGAGAGAGGCGACGGCGCATCGAGGAGCGGCGCCCTGCAGCGGGGCCGAGAGCGGCCGCGTGCGGCAGAGCTCGCGGATACCTGCCCCCACGAGTCCCCGGAAACCCGCGAGCGAGGCGCCCCCGAGTCCGGAGGCGCGGGGTCAGCCCCGTGGCCTCGACCCCCCCCCCGGCTCCCTGCCCCCCCTCCCTTCCTCTGGAGGTAGGAAAGGGGTGTGGCATAAAGGGGTGTGGTGCCAATCGTGGAAATCGAGATGCTACCTACGATAGGTGGCATCGCCAGACTCAGCCTTGGCACCACACCCCTTTATGCCACACCCCTTTCCTACCTCCAGACTTCCGTCCGACCCTTCCCCCTTCCGGGCCACCCTCCTCCCCTCTCCCCCTCGCCCAGTCCTTCCCCCTTCCGTGCGGCCCTTCCCCCTCCCGTCCGACCCTTCTCCCCCCTCCCGTCCGACCCGTCTCCCCTCTCCCGTCGCGCGACCCTCTTCTCCCCCCTCCCCCTCCGACTGGTCCTTCTCGGAGCCGCGCTTCGACCACAGCTCCAGGCTCGGGACCTGCCCCGCCCGCAGCCAGCGGGCCGCGGCGCGGCCCGCGGGAGGGAGGATCGGAGCGGCGTCTGGGGCGGGGCCTGTATTTCCAAAGGGGACCAAGGAGACACACATGAACAGACGCAGGTTCTAGGATCCCTGGGTCTCCAAATGTATTCTGAAGTTACGCATTTCCTCTCCACTTCCCACATTTTCCCGTGTTTCCCAGAACATCGACGTGTATGTGTACCCGTGTCTTTTTCTCACTCCTGATGTCTTCGAAGAGAAGACAGCCACTGTCCGGCATTCACCAAATGGCCATGGAGGAAGCGCCCCCGTCCCCTTCGTGTTCTGCCAGCGGGTGGCGGCCCCACAGGAGACACTTCCAGGCCGTGCGTCCGGCACCAGCGGCGTTGGCCCTGGTGCAGGACCGCCCCAACTTCATCACTCCGCCACCTGTGCTGAGCAAATGGCAGGGTCCGGGCACATCTAGGCATACACAGGATCCACCTGAACAAGACCCTCGGCCAGGGCCCGAAGATGGAAGGATGAACGGGCCCTGGCTGACTCGTGCCGCGAATCAAACGAACATCACGGCGGGAGGTTTATGGTCGTCTGCGGCCTGCTCGGGGAGCCACTGCCGGGACACCAAGCCCTGACAAAACGACTCGGGGTGATATAAGTACAGCCGATCTCGGGTCAATGGATCGCGTCGGAAACGTGCTGGAAGTTGTGTGCACGTCGGCTGTGCGGCCTGCCTGCGGCTTCGAGATCGAGGCGCCGAAGATCGGCGAACTGACAAAGATCCGACTCCACGGCTGCTGTCTTGCGGCGATCGGCCCCCTGGGAGAGGGTCCAGACATCCGAAAATCGCCCGTTGGGCGGGCCCGCCGAGGCCGCGCAGTGCTGCCATCGCATTCCCGGTCTCTTCCTTTCACAGCCCACACGTGGCGCTGTATGTACCAGCGAGGGAGGAGCCCTGCGGCAGAGTGCAGAGAATCGACACGACACGACGACGAGAACGACTCACGACAGACGAACAACAAGGGGTCAGAAGTCGCACAAAACCCGCGGAGCTTTTCGCAGAGAGCAGCTGCACACCACCACCATGCCTAGCCAAGACCATCCTGCGTGGTTGCATGGCAGGATCGAGTCGGAAAATCGGATCGGACGGGAATGTGCTTCGGATCGGGCCGCATCGGCACAGAGTCGGAACCAAGTCAGATCGGCGGGGCAACACGGGGTCTCCGGACATCCCGACCATTTCCCCGGGGCGGGCATTTTTGTCCTGAGCTGACTTTGGACGGCCCCAGAGCCAGCGAGAGCACTCACAGGCCGAAAACGGCGAAAACTGCTGTATTGCAAATGATGGATGTCTGTGCTCCGGGAGTCGAACTCGAACCCCGAGGCCTCTCCTGGGGTGTCCTGGCCAGCATTTGAAAAGAATGCCGGCCAGGAGCCTCGCAGTGGCCCAAAACGGATTCCCAAACGCATCGACAGCTCGAGATGATATTCTCGATCCTCTCTAGACCTATCGGGTCGGGCGAAAGGGGGGGATAGCAAAGGGGGGTTTGAGAATCAGCTCACGTAGCTGATTTTCCCGGCGCCTCCCGGCGCCGGGGGCGGCCATGTATCGAGGAATGGCCCCCTCGGTGAGGCCGAAACCAGCTGCATGCAGCAAATTTCGTAACCCCCCCTTTCCCAATCCCCCCCTTTCGCCCGGCCCGAACCTAGCTTCGCGGCGGCCGGGGCCCGAGGCAGGGCTCAGACCCCTGATGTCATGATCTGCTCGCAACGTCGACCCCCAGAGATCTCGACCATTTCCCTGGGGCCGCCTCCTCATCCTGAGTCGATGTTCGAGGGCCCTGGGCCCGGTGAAGGCCCCCAAGTAGGTCGAAAACCTCACAAAACCCCGTTGTGGTTTTCTCACGGCGCGAGGGGGGACAGCTACACGCAAGAGAGCGTTTCTTCATGTTCGGCGATGACGGGCGTCATGGGGGGGAGGGCGGGCGGGGGGGGTATGACGTAATGTCCCCCCCCGCCGTGTGGCTCCGGCACCACAAGCCGCGCCCGCGCGCACGACGCGACGAGCGACGAGCGACGAGCGACGAGCGACGACGGCGACGACGACGACGACGACGACGCGAGCAAAATGTAGGTGGCGATATGCCCCACGGCGCCTGTGTACACATCGCTCGCGTGCACCACAACGCGCGCGAACACCACAACACCTGCGTACACCGCAAGAACCGAGTGCAACGCAGCGCCTGTGTATACCACAGTGCTTGCGTACACTACAGCGCCGGTGTACATGTGTACACCGCAGCAACTATGTGCAACAGAGCGCCTGTGTACACCACCATGCTTGCGTGCACCGCAGCGCCTGTGCACGCAACAGCGCCTGTCTACACCACAGCACCAGCGTGCAACGCAGCGCGACTGTACACCAGTGCCTGCGTGCAGGACAGTGCTGATAATCGAATGCGACGTTCTTCCCTCCTCCCTCCTCCTCCTCCACCTCTACATCCTTCTCATCCTCCCTCTCTTCGTCCTCCTCCTCCTCCTCCTCCTCCTCCTCATCCTCTTCCTCCTTGCCCCCTGTCGTGCGGGGTGGCGCTACAGCGCACGTGCGCAATTCAGCGCGCAGTGCACCGCATAATGTTCGATTGAATCGGTCCACTTGGTTCTCGCACGGCCATTTTAGCTGGAGACTCCTGGACGCAGATGGGAGAAGTTAGGCGAGCGGATTCCAGCGGCGCTCCTTTGTCCATAAGGATTCCTTTGTGTTGTTTTCTGTGGAATCCACAAGCGCTCCATTTTGTCATACGGATTCCTTCTAACATTCGATATGCAAGTGTGACGCTGTGTTGCACACGGTTGCTGTGGTGCACACAGGCGCCGTGGTGTACACAGGCACTGCAATGCACGCAGGCATTATGTTGTACACCGGTGCTGTGTTGCACACGGCTGATGTGGTGTACGCAGGCGCTGCGGTGTACACAACAGCTGTTGTGCCCGCGAGCACGGTGGCACAAGCTGACGCTGTGTTGCACACGGCTGTCGTGGTGTACATACGCGGTGTGGTGTACACAGGCGCTGTGGTGCACGCAGGCACTGTAGTGTACACAGGCGTTGTGGTGCAGATCGCCACCTACATGCTGGTGCGACCCGTCCTCCGTCACTCCCAGGCATTCCCAGACGCGGCTGGCGCGAAAAAATTATGTCATCGACCCCCTCCACACCCTCTCAGATGATTGCCGTGATCGGCCCGGAAAAAAATTAACAGGCTCCAGCCGCGTCCGTGCGCACGACGACGATGAGCGACGAGCCACGAGCGATGACGACGACGACGACGACGACGACGACGACGACGACGACGACGACAACGACGACGACGACGACGACGACGACTGCGCACCAGACTCCTATGCGGATTCTTACCTTACGCGGACACCTACGCGGATCCCAGCGCGCACGGCGGCAGTGCCCGGAGCGCACTGGGGGGGGGGGGGGCGTTACGTCATAGGGGGGGGGAGCGGGGGGCACGACGCCCGTCATGCCCCAAGCAATAAAGAAATGGTCTCCAAGAGTGACGATGGGCAAGAGTGAACTTGGTCGCTGCGATGGCGGTCTGGGAGGCAAGGCCACGGCCGGGGTGGCCTCCTGCAGCCCCATGCCCGCCGCGCGGTAGGCGGGGGCCACGCCAGCGACGGCCGCCATGGGCGTCCCCAGGCCCCGCACGGCTCGCGCGCGCGGACGGCCCTGAGCAGAAGATAAACCGCAACGGCGTCTGCTCGCCCCGAGCTGGCCAACACGCGCGCGGCCTGACACGGACTCGCGTCAGCGGAAGCCCCCCGATCGATGAAACCAAAGAGCTCGAACTGTAATTGCGCAGAAGAAGATCCGTCACCGTGACCCCTGGCAAGTTGGGACCTGCTAGAATGCCAAGTGCTGCTTGGAAGGGTTATGCTATGTCCTGAGGGTTCTCCAGCCTTTCATCACGCTGCCCCGCGTGAATCGCCCCCTTCTCGAAGCATCAATCCATCGCAAAGAAAAATAGATTCGCGCTAACGAGGCCACAATCCTTTGAAACGAACTACGAGTTCGCGTTCCCGAAACCACCACCCCTACTAAAATACAACAGCTGCGCGCTCCCGAGGCCAAGATGCCTCTCATGTCATTTACCAAAACGAACGCCAAGGGGCAACAGAAGGCCCCAAGCCGGTCCAAGAAGGCCCACAGGGGCACCCAAGCCTGACTCACAGAATGCCAACGCAGCAACGACAGGGCCCAGACGAGATCCACGCGGTCTCCTCAACTAGTGAAGACAACAGGTGTCACATGCGACGGCCTTCCTCTTCCTCTTCCTCTTCCTTCTGTCCCTCTTGCTGCTCGTCCTCTTCCCCCTCCGCCTCCTCCTAGCCGTTTGATTGCTCCTTCACATTATCCCCATCAGCCTCGAAAACCACAGAGATCCTCCCCCTCCTCATCTTCCCCCTCCTCGCCGTGATCATCACAAGCACCACCACCAACATCGTCATCATCATCAGCATCAGCAGCATCATCATCATCATCACCACCACCACAATCATCATAATCATGATCAGCACCAACGTCATCATCATCATCAGCATCTCACTCATCATCAGATCATCAGTATCAGCATCATCACCATCGCAATCGATATCAGCATCATCATACACATCATGACGAACACCATGACCATAACAATCACAATCACCATCCCCATCACCACCACAATCGTCAACATCATCAACCTCATCCCTCATCATCAACAGAATCACCATCGCCATCCTCACCACCACCATCACCATCGCTACTATGAGCGGCATCATCATCATAATCATCATCAGAACCACAGACATCATCATCGGCATCATCACAAGTATCATTCTCATCATCGGCAGCATCGTCGCCATCAGACCAACAATCAGCAACACCACCATCATCATCAACAGCACCAGTATCATCACCATGAAAATCGTGACCAAAATCATGATAATAAAACCCCATCATCACCAACAGCATCGTCAACATCATCATCATCAGCATCGCCACCATCGTCGTCCTTATCCGAATCATCAGCATCACCCCCATCATCGCAATCATCATCGTCATCAGCAGCCTCATCACCATCGCCCCCACTACCATCACCAGCATCATCATCGGCATCATCATCATCCTCATCATCACAAGCACCCCCCCTTTGGCCGCAAAACCCCACCCCCCTCCCCCCCCCTTTCGCCACGCCGCCCCCTGACTCCGGAACCCGACCCCCGCCACCCCTACCCCTAGTCCTCACCCTAACCCAAACCACGAACCCTAACCCCAACAACTAAACCCAGCCCCAAAGAGTACTCACTACTCATTACTCACTGCCCACTACTGACTACTCGCTATTCGGTACTCACTTCTCACTAGCCCCGACTCACTACTCACCACTCACTATCCACTACTCGCTACACACCACCCACTACTCGCTACTCACTACTCCCTACTCACTACTCAATCCTCACTACCCACTACTCAGTACTCACCACTCACTACGCAATACTCACCACTCACTACTCACTAATCACTACTCACTACCCACTACCCACTATCCACTACTCACTACGCACGACTCCTTGCCCGCTACTCACTACTCACGACCCACTACTCGCTACTCGCTACTCCCTACTCCCTAGACAATACTGACTACACAGTAGTCAGTACTCACGACTCGCTACTCCAATACTCGCTACTCAATACTCACTACTCACTCCCCGCTACTCACTACCCACTACCCACTACTCACTACTTCCTGCTCACTAGTCACTACATAGTCTCTAGTCGGTAGTCACAGGTCACTAGTCCCTAGTCACGAGTCACTACTCACTACCCACTACTCACTACTCACTAATCGCTACCCATTACCCACTATTCGCTATCCACTTCTTACTACTCACTGCTCACTACTCCCTACTCCCTACTCACTACTCACTACTCGCTACTCCCTAGTCGCTACTCACCAATAACTACCCACTACTCACTACTGACTACTCTCTACTCAATACTCACTACTCACTACGCCCTACTCGCTCCTCACTTCCCCTACTCTCTACTCCCTACTCGCTACTCACTACACACTACCCACTGCCACTACCCACCACTCTCTATTCAGCACTACTACTCACGACTCACTACTCACTACGTACTTCGTACTACTCAGTACTCAGTACTCACTACTCACTACTCAGTACTCACTGCTCGCAACTCTCTACTCACTACTCACTACTCACTACTCACTACTCACTACGCACTACGCACTACCCACTACTCACTACTCACTAATCACTACCTGCCACCCACTACTCACTACCCACTACTCACTACCCAGTACTCATTATCCCCTACTCCCTACTCAGTACTCACTACTCAGTACTCGCTACTCACTACTCATCACTCGCCACACACTACACACTTATCCGTACACACAACTCATTATTCACTACTCACTACTCCCCACTCCCTGCTCCCTACTCCCTACTCTCCACTCACTACCCACTGCTCACTACCCAATACTCACTACTCACTACGCACGAACTCACTACTCACGACTCACCACTCCCTACTCCCAACTCCGTACTCCCTACACACTTTCTCTGGCGCAGAAAGGAGAAGCGAGAGTCCCCCCCTCCCAAGCTCCCTTTCCGGCGCAAAGGGGGGGAGGGGATGGGGATTCTGACCCCCCCCCCCTTTTTCAGCGCCAAGGGGGGGAAGGGGGGGGGGTCCGGAACCCCCCCCCTTCAAGGGGGGGGGGAGGGGAGGGTTTGGACACACCCCCCTTAAGGGGGGAGGGGGGGGGGGGTCTGGACCGCATGTGGGCCCAATCCCAACCCACTGGGCCCAATCCCAACCAACTGAGACCAATCCCAACCAATGCGAAAAGCAAACTGGGCCCAATCCCAACCATCTTGGGATAGGCCCACAATAGGATTTTAATTGTAGAGAAGCCCAAGACGAGTGCGAAGACCAAGTGACAGTCCTTATGTCAACGCACAGGATCTGGAAGCCAACATGCATGCTCCAGTTGGAATTGGTCTCAGTTTTGGTTTGCACACGAGCACTACGTTAAGATGAGCAAGAGGGCACCGAAGCGTAAACATCGATTCTAAAATATGCAAATGGATCTTCCTGGTACTAGTAGTAGTAGTCGTAGTAGTCGTAGTAGTAGTAGTAGTAGTAGTAGTAGTAGTAGTAGTAGTAGTAGTAGTAGTAGTAGTAGTGGTAGTAGTAGTAGTAGTAGTAGTAGTAGTAGTTAGTAGTAGTTAGTAGTAGTTAGTAGTAGTTAGTAGTAGTAGTAGTAGTAGTAGTAGTAGTAGTAGTAGTAGTAGTAGTAGTAGTAGTAGTAGTAGTAGTAGTAGTAGTAGTAGTAGTAGTAGTAGTAGTAGTAGTAGTAGTAGTAGTAGTAGTAGTAGTAGTAGTAGTAGTAGTAATATAGTAGTAGTGGGAGTGGTAGTAGTAGTAGTAGTAGTAGTAAGTAGGGTCCGATCACGTATCCTACGGGACAGTGGTGGTACACCAGTTCGGAAATGACTGGCGGTAGGTCGTCGTAGTAGTAGTAGTCGTAGTAGTCGTAGTAGTAGTAGTAGTGGTAGTAGTAGTAGTAGTAGTAGTAGTAGTAGTAGTAGTCGTAGGTAGTAGTAGTAGTAGTAGTAGTAGTAGTAGTAGTAGTAGTAGTAGTAGTAGTAGTTGTAGTAGTAGTAGTAGTAGTAGTAGTAGTAGTAGTAGCGGTCGTAGTAGCAGTAGTGGTAGTAGTAATAGTCGTAGTAGTAGTGAAAAATGAAATAAGTAGCAATTGTAGTAGCAACAATAGTCGTAGTAGAAGTCGTAAAAGTGGAAGTAGTGGTGGTAGTAGCAGTAAGACAAATAGTAGTAGCAGTAGTAGTAGTAGTAGTAGTCGTAGTAGTTGTAGTAGTTGTAGCAGTCGTCGTAGTAGCAGTAGTAGTAGTAGTAGTAGTAGTAGTAGTAGTGGTAGTAGCAGTCGTAGTAGAAGTAGTCGTAGTCGTAGTCGTAGTTGTAATAGTCTGAATCGTAATAATGGTAGTAGTGGTAGCCGTAGTGGCAGTAGTAGTAGTAGCACTAGTAGTAGTAGTCGTAAACGGTGTCGTAGTCATAGTCGTAGTCGTAGTAGTAGTCGTAGTAGTAGTAGTAGTTGTAGTAGTAGTAGTAGTGGTAGTAGTAGTAGTAGTAGTAGTAGTCGTCGTAGCCGTACTCGTCGTAGTAGTAGTAGTACTTCTAATAGTAATAGTAGCCGTAGTAGTAAGAGTAGTAGTAGTAGTAGTAGTAGTAGTAGTAGTCGTAGTAGTCGTAGTAGTACTAGTAGCAGTGGTAGTAGTAGTAGTAGTAGTAGTAGTAGTAGTAGTACTAGTAGTAGTAGGTAGTAGCAGTAGTAGTAGTAGTCGTCGTCGCAGTCGTAATAGTAGTAGTAGTAGTAGTAGTAGTAGTAGTAGTAGTAGCAGTACTGGTAGTACTAATACTCGTAGTAGTAGTAAAATAGATAGTAATAGTACTAGAAGCAACAGTGGTAGTAGTAGTAGTAGTAGTAGCAGTAGTACTGATAGTAGTAGTAGTAGTAGTAGTAGTAGTAGTAGTGGTGGTAGTAGCCGCAGTAGAAATAGTCGTACTCGTAGGCTTGCTTGTAGTAGTCTGAGTCG